GACATTTTATGGGGGGTGGAGTGGGGAATGGGATCAAAAGGGGGGTTGGGGGGGGTTGGAAAGTGCACTGGACTACGGTGATGGCACACGGGTGAAATGGTGGGGGGAAGCCCATGGAGATTACAACTGAGATGGAAAAATGCACAAAATGATGTAAAAATATACTATTTAAAAAATTTTATCGAACCTAAAAACACAACTATATAAGCATAAAATGACCAAGTAACTTTTATTTTTTTTCCAAGTAACTTTTATACAATAAACAAATCATAAGTTGAAAACAGTAGATAAGAAAGGTAAATCTATACCTATATGAGTTCCTAGATTGTAAAAGGGACATAATAGTTTCTTGCTTGTTAAATTATAATCTGAGATGAGCAAAATAACAACAAAGAAAAATGTGGTTAACTGCTAATAGTGAAAGGTTGAAATGCCATGATGAAATACAAAAAAAAGGTGATTATAGTTGGCATAAGAACAGTTAAGTTTTATGAAAGAAGTTAGTGCTTTAAGGCTGACCTCAAAGAGGTTATTCTAAAAGATGAAGGGAACAGCATAAACAAAATATCCAGAGAAAAGGTAGAATCTGCTAAAACTAAGTTGTCCAGATTGGATTAAAAACAGGTAGAAAAATGGCCCTCCCTGGTGGTGCAGCGGGTTAAAGCACAGCACTGAGAATCTAAAGCCGCTTCCACATGAGTTCGATTCCCACCTGCCCCGGAGGTGACCACATGGATGCCGTGGCAGACCTCTCCTGACCCACCCGCTGCTTCCCTCAGCAGTGTACTTCGTTGATCTGCCTGTTCTGTTCCCCACTCTGTCTCTGGTGAAGCCTCTCACTGCCCCTGAGCTTCTGGCCTATACCCCAGTTCTTTATGCACAAATAAACCAATCTTTGGAAAAAAAAAACAGGTAGAAAAGAAGCAGAACTGGAAAGGCACATAAACATGAATACTAGTAAGAGTCAAGGTTCATTTTAATCAGGTAAGTGAAAAAAAAAAAGAAGTATATGCTGTAACTCAGTATATAGACAAGTATCAGCTGAAGAATTACTCAAGGAAAAAAAACTGCCATATTTTAAACCCTTGGCTTTATATCTAGTTATGATGTCACTAAAACAGAAATGTAGTCATTTTTGAAGTTTTATTTTTTACCTTAAATAACTAAAACATTCAGTAGCAATTATAACAAATGAAAAAGTGCCTCACAATTTTCTGCCATTATAGTATAGAGGTAACTTATCACACACATTTAAGTAAAAAAATAAAACACATGGTAAGAATTTCATCCAATATGGAGCTTTATTAAATATAAGTGAGGAATCTATAAACAGTCATTCACAATTACTATATGTGCCTTACCTGCTCATAAGCTATTAAAAATATGAGACTGTTATTTCTGTTTTCTGAAACAGCAGTCTTTTCTATTTTATTTTAGCTTTTCTATGACTAGGTTCATTAGGGCAATGATTTCAAAATAAGCCTGCAAACATTTTTCTCTATTATTCAATCTTTAAAACATGTTAAACATTGTCGATGAGTTCAGTGAAGTTCAGATCCTGTCAACCTGTCTGGCTACTAGGCATTACCCTCCTGCCCATCCTGTAAAATGCAGCTCCACTACATCCTGACTGTACTCATCTAAAGAAAGGAAAAAACTTACTTTTTTACATTTTGAAATGTTTTGTTCTTTCTCCCCACTCTTTTTCCTCCTTTTATCATTAACCTTGGAAACTCTTGAAGCTGTTAGAGTAATTGATGTTGGAGTATGCTGAAATGCAGTATATAATTCCACAGGAACCTCATCACCACTCTCAGTTGCACTGGTATCACCATCTTCAAAGGCAAAGCAAAATTGTTTGCATATATTTTACATTTATTTGAAACAATAAATCACCCCACATGACAAACTTTTCTCCATCTTTCTGAAGAATAAACACATTTCACCTCCTCACTTATTTTATCCAGAAGATACATTTAAATGCAAGCTACAAATATCATTTCTCATACAAAAGTCTGACAATTCAGGTACTATGACTAGAGAAAAAGCACTTGTCTGTATTGTCACTGCTAATTCAAAATTCCCTACTAAAGGATTTCTAGCATAATCCAATTATGTGCTTATTCTTTCACTCACAATCCCATTTCTAGGACACAAGTACAAAGATAAAATAAAACGACAAAAGTACAAATAACCTTATCCAAGAGATTTCTTTGACGGTCTATTTGGAATAATAGTAACAACAACAAAAAAATTATGGAACAACCTAAGTGTCCATTAAACAAGAAAATAATTCAATAAACTATGATTTATTCAAAAACAGTTGTATTGGAATCAACATTTTTTAAGCTAAAATGAAATTGTTATAAATTTTGTTGCTGAAAATAGGAGAAATAATATGCCATATGATAAACTAATAGATCATCACCATTCAGAACAAATTTACTTATTTAACCAATAGACTATTAGAAATTTACATTAAAAAACACAATAGGTTACCTATATGTAGGAAAAGCGATGATTAAAATTCTCTTTCCCTCTAAACAAGTATATTCTTATTCTATAAAAGAGGATATCTAAAATCTACTATACCAAATTTATAAATTATACATAAAATAACATTCATCAATAAGGTATTTACAACTGATTGATATTATTAAGGCCACTTAGTTTCTTACTCACACTGATCTTAATTTAGTACAGATCCTTTGCACCCACCTGACATATTTTCCCTTTTCCGGCGTTGTAGTAGCACTGCCCTCTCTTTATCCAAACTCCTGCATTAAAATATTAACATGATTATCAAATTTTCATAAAATATTTCTATGTTTAAATGTGATAAAGTCTACAACTTTTTTTACATTGAAAATTGAACAGTATATTTTAGTATAGTACACTATAGTTTAGATTGGATCTAGAACAATTAGATTTAAATGCCAGTTAAGTGACGCTACTATACAGAGTTCGTACACAAATGTTCAAAGAAACTTCATTTTTAGTAGCCAAAAAAAAAAAAACAACCTAAATTGTCCCTCAAGGAGTAAATGGTTAAATAAACCATTCCTGGATACAACACAGACTATTCAGTAGTAAAAGAGGAATATTTATAAATGTTACAAATTTGCTGACTAGCCAGGGAATTGTTTTAAGTAGGAAAAGCCAGTTCCCAAAGGTCATATCCTGGGTCACATAACATATGAGCCACTTACGAAATATTCTTGAAATGACAAAATTAAAGAAATGGAATTTAGATTACTGGTTGTCAAAGGTGTAAGATGGGAGGGGGACAGACAAGAGTGATGGGTGTAGTTATAAAAAAAAACTGAGGAATTGTTACAATGAAAATTTTCTGTATCAATATCATTACCAAGTTTATATTGTATTAAGAGTCTTGCAAACTGTAACCACAGAGGTAAACTGAGTAAAGGAGACATAGGGTGCCTGTGTTATTTCATAACTACATGTGAAACTACAATTAAAACTTCAAAATTTGGGCCCTCCCTGGTGGCGCAGCGGGTTAAAGCACAGCACTGAGAATCTAAAGCCGCTTCCGCATGAGTTCAATTCCCGCCTGCCCCGGAGGTGACCACATGGCGTGGCAGACCTCTCCTGACCCGCCCGCTGCTCCCCTCAGCAGTGTACTTCGTCGATCTGCCTGTTCTGCTCCCCACTCTGTCTCTGGTGAATCCTCTCACCCTCCGCATCTCTGGCCTGTACCCCAGTTCTGTATGAATAAATAAATAAATCTTTAAAAAAAAAAAAAAAAAAACTTCAAAATTTAATTAAAAATAAAAAAACAACCCTAGCCACTATAGAGGTGCATATGCAATTAATGTAATGATATACTGAAATTCATTCTAGAGAATTTAAATAACAAATTACATGTAATTTGTAGAAAACATACAAGAAGTTCTATGCTTTACATAATTATTGCTAGTGTTGGTATTATTACTTTGAAAATGCTATATTTTTTCTGTGAGATTAAACAAATAGTTTGGCATTCTAGCTACACTATTATCTATGTTGTTGAAAATGGAATAAAAGGGGCTACATGTGGAATACAGAAATGAGTAACGAAAGCCTTCTATTCCTAAATTTAATTTGCATTTTTCTGTATAAAGTCATGGATCTTAAAGAAGTAGGCAACATGTACTTGCCAACTCTGTCTACTAAAAATACATAGGAATGTTGACCAGTTCAATAGGAAAGAACATGACTAGTAGATTGTGGTCTTTAAAACAAATTGTGAATTTAGGATACAGAACTGTCAAATTAAATCAAGACATCCCATCCTACCAGATAGCATAATAATTATCAACTACTGGGCCTTGCTGGTGACATAGTGGTTAAAGTCTCAATGCTATCAAGCAAGGGGTTAAGTCTCCGCACTATGACTCTATCACCAGCCACTATGGCATGAGTTTGATCCCTGGCCAGGGAGCTCACCCACATGGCGCAGCAGACCACTCTTGTTTCATCTGCTGCTTCCCTCATCAGTATATTTCAGTGGATCTGTCTGTTCTACTCCCTACTGTCTCTGGTAAATCCTCTCACCCAATGCATCTCTGGCCTATACCCCAGTTCTTGTATGCACAAATAAATTTTAAAAATGTATCTTTAAAAAAACATTTGCAAGTACTATACAGGTACTGTCAAAAAGATGAGCATCAACTTGAAGAGTTGACCAATTTATGGACAAATATGAAGATCAGTAAAGATAATAACTGCAGTAGACTGACATCCATATGTTAAAATCTCTGAGGTCACAATGCTACGTAAATTTTTTTTTCATTATGAAAACTGGTAAATAAAAGCTCAAAAAGTAATTATCCTGTTTTAATGTAATAAACCTTGGGGAAATTAACCAGTTAACATGTGTAAGTTTGTACTGTAGCTAATAATAAACAATAAAATTAACATATTACTAATTTTAAACCCTAAAATAATGTTATCTGAAGTGTGACATTCAGAGATGACCAGATGTTATGTGTCATCTGACAGCACACAATCTATGAAAGTCTGTAAGATTACAATATTAATGGAAAGACTACTAGAAAAAAACTGAACCTAAATCTGATCACATACCTATTTAGAGAGAGAAATGTAGAGGGCAAAGAAACATGTTAAATCATGATAATGTAATCAATAAACTCATTAGAATAAGCAATTCAGTTCCTTGATGAAATACAATGACTGGCCAGGTAATTTTATTACATGTTTATTAATGGTCTTTGGTGTATTTATTTAGTAAAGAATTGTTTTATATTTACCAAAATGCATGTACATATAAATACATACACTTACACAAATATTGAAATACATATAGATACATATAAATGAAATATGATCTGGGGTTTGCCTTAAGATAATGTTTGATAATACCTGAAGGGTAGAAGAAATACATGGTAGTATAACTGAAGAAAGATTATTGATAACTGTTGAGGCATGATGATGAAAACAAACAGGTTTATTACACTATTTTACTATTATACAGATTTGAAATTTCCACACAGGTAGATTTAAGGAAAAAAATCTAGTAAAATCTAGTAAATCTTTTAACATAGTACATGCCAGTGAAAAAAGATACCATTATTTAGGAGATAACAGTAATATTTTATACTCATTAATAAAGAACATTACAAACTAATATACTTTCAAGGACACAGTCTTCTTGATTTTTGAGAGGTGAAAATACAAAAATAATAATCACAGCATAAAAGGTGTACCTTAGAGTTAGTTGATAGTATACAATAACTGTTTAATTGTTTAATCTAGAATTCATATATAAATTTCCATTAACCAAGATTACCTCTGTAAGAGTACTAGCAATTTTATGGGTATGCACAACTTACCTAGGTTGACAACGTTCACACAGATACGTATCAGGAATATGCTGCCTGTCAATCCCCATGCAGTCAATATGTTGCCAAACACTTAAAAAAAGCAGAGCATTTTGTTTGATTAAAATATAAATTAACATTCCCTACTAAGTAGCTTCTCAAAAGTAATGAGGAAAACATGTTATTACTTAAGTTTCTTTAGTTAATTAATTTAACTCCTGAATAAATTTACTGAGATGATCATTCATGATAATGATAATGTCACAGATGATGAGATTTTATTTTTAAATTTGTAAAGGCACCACAATATATTTTTATTAGTAAAATCAAGTCAAAGTATTACTACTATAACTTTCATAAAAATAATCAAACTTCATATTCTACTTAAGACTTTTATAATATTCTACCTGTCTGGCAAAGGTAAATCAACTTTTTGAAACATAACCCTAATTGTATATTTATGTCAACTTCACCTCCTAATTACCTAATCTAATAAATGGGAACAATATTATAAGTAATGTAATTTACATTTGGCCCTAGCATGCATTTTACATTTACAATCAAATAAGGGTATATGTCAAAAAAGATAAACTCGTGCCATTTGCAGCAACATGGATAGAGCTGGAAGAGATTATGCTAAGTGAAATAAATCAGAAGGGAAAAGAAAAATATCAAATGGTTTCACTTGTAGATAGAACATACGGAAACTGAACAAAGGGTCAGGAAAAAGACAACTTGCACACAGACCATAGATCTGAGGCATACAGCAGCGGAAGGAGAAGGAGTGGGGCCAAAATAGATACAATGGTGATGGTTAACAGGTGCTGTGGTTGTGGGAAAATTAGGGGGACTATATTTGAAGGGAGTAATCAAATACTGTACAAAAATGAAAAATGATGTAAGAAAAAAAGTAAGTTTCAATGTTAAAGAGCCCCCCCCCCAAAAAAAAGGGGGGCGGGGGTAAAGTGTTCTATCACTTCAAATCAAGGAAATAAGTTATTCCATAAGGACCAAGCTAGGAAATCTTGCAAAGCTACCAAACTTTCTTGCCCTCTAGAGTGTACTCTTTAAATACTCCCTGCTTCCCACACTATATGTAAGGATGGACTTAATTACTTTCACATTGTAATACTATTATTCACTCTTTGCCCTTCCCAACTCCCTACCACCAAAATCAAAACCAAAAAAAAAAAAAAAAGAAAAGAAAACAATATGCCAATGTGCCACTTTCTGTTCTCATCAAGCCTTCTGTGTGATTAGGCACCCCCCCCCCCCCCCCCCGGGCCTTTCCTGTTGATTGAACCAGGGTTCTGGTTCAAGGAGACTTCAGAATGCTGCAAATCTCCAATTAAAAGGAGGTGAGAAAGTCACATCAAACAAACATTAATCAAAATGTGTAATTCCCCCAAAATGGAAAATCACAGTTGACTATACAGTACAAATAATTCCATAGGAAAAAGAGGACTCAATTTTCTCTTTTCTATCTTGTCTATTACTGTATGTAGTTAAAATACTACAGAATGAACGGGAATTACAACTGAGATGGAAAAAGGGCACAAAATGATGTAAAAATAAACTATTTAAAAAATACTTCTGAATGAATACAAAGAGATGTGATCTTATATTGAATAAATTTGGAACTAACTGCCTATTACTCAATTAACAATGGGCATTTCCATAAACTCTTTAGGATACCATTTTTTTCCAATAGGGGCTTTTTCTAGGGAGGGACCTACATTGATAACAACAGAAGTCTCCCTTTAAAAATAAATTCATTAATTCCTTCAAAAGTGACTTTACTGATCTAACAAGCATTCAAGAAATATAAATTAAACTTGAAATATTTTACCTGCATTTGTCACAACAGATCATGTATCCATCATCATGTGTAAAACCACATATGCACCTAGTTACATCAGTACCGTAACTTCCATCCTCAGATGTGCTGATTGTAGTAGCACTGGAAGTTTCATCAAAATTAGGAGTGGTGAATATGCCTACTTCATTTTTGCTAATAAGAACTGATGGAGGAGGGGAAGCCGGAGGTGTTGGAGGAGGACGAGCACCATAATTATGGTCCTAGGTAATTTAAACACAAACACAGTACAATATAATTTTAATAATATGAACTTAGAAACTTAAAATTCAATTTCTAATTTTAATTCTAAGAGACATGAAATCTGTCCATTTCTTCCTTTAACTTTTATAATTAATGACAGTGAAACTAGATAGTAAACCACACTATTAAGTATCTCTCCTGTAACTTCAGTCATATATTTCACAACTTCTCACAAACTCTGTGGTCTGAGTGGTAAAAATCTCTCAAAAATGGTACCTGGAAAATATCAGAAATGTATTCATTTAAACTATTTCAATCTAAGCATTGCCTCTTACCTAACTCACTAGGTTTTTTTTTTTTAAGGTTAAATATGGTATCAGATTCTGACATATTAGTGCTCAATATATTGCAGCTATATTTATTATATTGCAATATAATTCAGAATTATAAATCGATAGTACAATTATACCTATCATCATTTTATAAAGGCAAAAAATTATCACACCAAAGTATTAATAGCATAAAATGAGAAACATAGTAACTAAACTTCTAGGGAATTCCTCACAGAATTTCAATGCCTTGGACAGTATAATTAAATAAAAAATTAAACTATAAATTATATACCTTATTGTTTAGATATTACATATCTATTTTTAAAATATGCAAAATACCAGCTACATTTATATTTAACTTCTGGATATAAAATCTTAGCTATTCTAAGAAATATCTGACACTTACCGCATAGGGCAAACCAATATAACTGTGTGAATGATGCGAGCTGCTGGTATATAATTGGTGGGGATAACTGTTGGATTTCTCAACTACCACAGGGCTAGCTTCTACGGATTCTGGTCTGTAGGAAAAAAAGTTGAGTTAAAAAAATTTTATCAAAAAATAACTTAAAATTATAGGCATATATTTTACTGCATATGCAGATGAAGTCTTTCTACATGTAAACACTGTGCATAAAACATAACCTATTAAGATTGTGTGTCATAACAAAACTGGTTGAAGTAAAACAAGTGTCAGAGTCCAGCAAGATGGTGGCAGAATAAAACTTTGAGTTCACTTGCTTCATATATTAGCAACTAAACTGCAACAGAACAAATATAATAACATCTTCAAAGATAAGGAGACAATTGCAACTTATGATAGGAAAAGTCCAGCAGAAAAAATTGGGGGAAATGAACTGAACAGTGATATTGCAACAGTACATCTCACTAAAGGGAAGAGTAGGAGCCATAGTGAACAGCCCTACAGCTGCTGACTTTGGGACATGAACCAATGTTTGGGGACTTTAGAGATGTAGCATTATGCTGGATAATAGGGTGCACAGAATTGTCATCTAAGGCAAAAGGTGCACTAGTGGAGAACTATTCCTATGGTTCTTGCAGGAAGACAGGTCAGATCACCTGTGTCTTATAGAAGTTACTACTTGGGGGCTGACGCTATGATATTTTAAACATCTACTTCTCCTCACCCCTACCTCCACTAAAACAACTGGCTCTTTCACAAGCCAGAGTATAAGCCCCTGGATCTTAACAACAGAAGCAAGTGACCCAGGGTAAGGCTCTGAACAGGAGAAACAAATAGAAAAATGCCTGGTTTGTGGCCTCCATTGTCTCAGCTCTAACCCATGTCCAGCACTGCATAAGGTGCTTACCAGAAGCCTAAAGGTTGAGGCTGGTATGAGACTATATGCGATATCTAGGCTGAGGAGTTGGCCTATAAGAGTGGCCTGCTGTGATTCCAGCCATACAATTCATATACCCATAGTATAGTAGGAACCTGAATCCCTAATGTGCCCCAGAGGTGATCTTTTGGTAACCAGCTTCTCTAGTTCCTTTTAACCTATTACCCTTTGCCTATAAGCCCTTGCTGATGGTATCAATTCTCTGGCACTTACACAAGTGCTAAAGCAGTGAGGAGCCACAAAATGAGGTTATTAAATGGTTCTGAAAAGCATTACAAAAGGAGAGCTCCAAAATATTTAGAAAATACTGAAAACCAATACTCACTAATGGCTATGTTATGTTAAAAACTTATTCTTAAACTCATTCCTTAGTCTCAAATTTAATAAAGCTCACTGTATAAAATTTAAAGTATATAAGAAGCTAAAAGATCATGTTTCCAACCAACCCCCAGATATATCCAGGTTGTAATATATGTTCCCCCCTCTAAATTTTTCTATGCATAAAATATCTAAGCTTTTTAATGAGAAAATACTATATGTATTTACAATCTGCTATTTCCATCTTTTAATGACATATCTATTTTTGTTAATAACTGCTTAAATCACTGTACCATCACTTACTGAACAATTTCCCTTATTCGTGGGTATTTAAATTTCCTTATTTTTCATCATTAAAAGTATCAATGCAATTATACACTGTTCTGTACATCTTTTCTGCATATATTGCCTTATTTCCACAACATAGATCCCCAGAGGTACAAATACCAAATAAAAGGTGCAAATAAAATGTGTAGATACAAACTATCTTTGATTTCTTTACAATACTGATGATCTTAAATTTCTTTAAATATTATACAGAAGTGGGATTTAAGCAATTCCTTATTGACAATATTAAACCAATATGTAGGAATTGTGGCTGGAATAGAAAGAGCCACTCTTTCAGGATTTACATAAAACTGAATATGTTAACTACAGAGTATGGCAAAAACCTTGACATGTTTGGAATAGCTAATAGGAATTAGAAAACAAAGCTTTCAGTGCAAGTGTAGATAAATTCAAGCAAAAGGAAGTGTTGGCAAGCATGTAAGGAAAATGGAACCAGGGTATAGTGTTGGTGAAAATGCAGACTGGTCCAACAAGTATGTAAAACTATATAAAGGTTTCTCAAAATACTAAAAAGAGGGCTCTCCCTGGTGGTGCAACAGGTTAAAGCACCACATTATGAAGCTCTCTGAAGCCACTGCAGCAAGAGTTCGATCCCTGGCCAGGGAGCTGACCCACATGGCATGGAAGACCTCTTCCAACCTGCCTGCTGCTACCCTCAGCAGTACACTTTGTCAATCTACTTGTTCTGCTCCTCACTCTGTCTCTGGTAAATCCTTTCACCAACCACCTCACCCACCACACCTCTGGTCTGTACCCCATTAACAATTCTTTAAAAAAATATATTAAAAATAGATCTCCCATGTGATCCATCTATTTATTCCTAGGCATCGTACCCAAAGAATGCAAAAACACTAGTTTGAATAGTTTGCACTCCTATAGTCACTGCAGCACTATTTAAAATAGCTATTTTGGAAGCAACCAAAATCCCCAAGGACAGATGAGTGGATTAAGAACATGAATATAGGGGCCTCCCTGGTGGCACAAGGGGTAAATCTCAACACTAGGAGGCTATCACCAGCTACTGCAGCACAAGTTCAATCCCCAGCCAGGGAACCAACCACATGGTGTAGCAGACCTCTCCTATCTCACATGCTACTCCCCTCAGCACTGTATTTTGGTAGATCTGCCTGTGCTGCTTCACTCTCTGATGAATCCTCTCAACTCTGCATCCCTGACCTACACCCTAGCTCTTGTACTGCATAAGTAAATAAATTTTTTTTAAAAGATTTATTTATTCATATAGAACTGGGGTACAAGGTCAGGGATTGGACTCACACTGAAGCACCTATGGCTAGCTTGCAGTGCTGTGTCCTAGCCTGTTGTGCCACCAGGGAGGGTTCCTTTAATGAGATTTTAATGGCAAGGCTAAAGACAATTTTTGTGTAAATAGTTGCTACTGTCATGCTCTGTTTATTCAATCTATAGATAGACACCTAAATACCAATATATAGATGTTAATAACATTTACCATCAAGAAACATTAGCACTCCTATAATTGTGTATCAAAAGCACAAACCATAATGCTGTGTTCACCCTATAGACAAATGATATTTTGCTTACATAATTTTGATATATCACTTTTTGAAGAGTGTGATACTTATTTGTACTCATACATTACTTTGTGTTCTTAACTAACTGAATTAGCAATCACTGTTCAAAAAGATCATCTCTTTATCCATGAAAAACTTCAAAAAAGATAATCACCTAGCCTAGAGAATTCAAATGTTAAAAAATGTTTAGTATTCAAAACAACCAGAATTTATAAATAACTTCATTTTTAAAAAAAAACTTTAAATTGTTGTCCCCAAAACAGAGGAACTGAATACATAATAAGAGATTCTAATATGGCTCTAAACTGAAATAAGAGATGTGCTCTCTTGTTAACAAAAAAAATGCTTGGTTACTTGACTGTTTCTTTTGGAAGTTTCCTAGTAGTTAATGCATGCAGAAGGGAAGGTCAAATTAGAAAAATCACTAATCTGTAACTCTAAAGAGATAATGGATTAGGCAACAGAGAACACAGATGCTAAAATCTCAAAAGGCTGGAAGTTTTTGGACAGATAGGGCTGACAGCACCTAAATTCTAATGACATTTTTTTACTTACATTTGAATATAAATGTAAGATTTTAGATATGTAGCTGTACTCCAAGCACTTAGAACAGTAGCTGGCATAGGGTAGGAACTCAATACTTTATGAATATAAATAAGAAATTGTTATTGAGGTTTTTTTTTAAGATTTATTTATTTATGCATACAGAACTGGGGTACAGGGGCAGTGACAGAGACAGTGGCGAATAGAAAAGGCAGATCAACTACACTGCTGAGGGGAGCAGTGGGCAGGTCAGGAGAGGTCTGCTGTGCCACGTGGATCACCTCTGGGGTCAGGGATGGAACTCACACTGAAGTGGCTGTAGCAGGTTTGCAGTGCTGCCTCCTAACTTCCTGCATCACCATGGAGGGTCCTAGTGAATTGTTTTTACAGTGTAAAAAAAATCATGAACATGTGAGGCATGAACCTATTCTTTTATATCATATATAGTGTTGTAAACCAATGTTGCCTCAATAAAGGATAAGGATAATCAAACAACTGAACTAGCAACATTTAAGACAATGATATAGAAATATGGTAGTCATTAAAAACAGAACCTTCTCAAGGTTCACTTTCTTGGGCCCTCTGTGGTCCCACAAGGGGTTAAAGCAGCACAGCAGTATGAAGCTATCCACAGCACAAATTTTATTCCTAGCCAGGGAGGTGACACACATTGTGCAGCAGACCTCTTCTGTCTCCGCTGCTGCTCCCCTCAGCAGTGTATTTCAGTCAGTCTGCCCTTTCTTCTCCCCACTCTGTCTCCCGTGAATCCCCTCACCCACTCTATCCCACTTCTTATATGCATAAATAATTTTAAAAGTTCACTTCCTTTAACAAGAAGGCATTAGGCCCTCCCTGGTGGCTCAGCAGGTTAAAGCACTGCACTGAGAAGCTAAAGTCACTTCTGCATGAGTTCGATTCCCGCCTGCCCCGGAGGTGGCCACATGGCCCGGCAGACCTCTCCTGACCCGCCCGCTGCTCCCCTCAGCAGTGTACTTCATCGATCTGCCTGTTCTGCTCCCCACTCTGTCTCTAGTGAAGCCTCTCGCCGCCCCTGCAACCTCTGGCCTGTACCCCAGTTCTGTATGTACAAATAAATAAATCTTAAAAAAACAAACAAACAAAAAACAAGAAGGCATTAAATCAGGACTCCTGATTCAAACTAAGATCTAAGATCAGTCTGCTGCCTGATTTTATAGTTTCATTGGAACAGTCATGTCCATTCGTTTATACATACTGTTTGCTTTCCATATAATAGAGCTGAGTAAAGTTGTAATAGAAATCATACTATTCAAGTCATAAATACTTATTCTCTGACCAGTAGCCAAACCCAGCTCTAAATTGTTTTATATTATAAAATGATCTGGGGAGTAAAAAAAGATTGTGCAGTCATGAGACATTTAA